ACGCTGCGGGGCGGGCGCTGCGAGCTCGAGGACCTAAAGGTTGGAAGTCTTGTAAGTTTAAGGAGCGCATCGCGCTCGCCCAAAGGACGACCCGACGCCTTCGTAAGTACAAGGGCGCTCTGGGGAGTAAGTCTCTTCGCATATTCACCGCGGCCCCCCTGGCGAGCGGCGCCTACGGTGCGGAGGTATTTGGCATCAGTGATAGGGAGTTGCACCAGTTTCGCTCCCTCGGTATATCCACGATATCTCCTAAGTCGCAACACCGCTCGCTCACGGTGATTTCGTTGCTGGAAGGGGAGCCCACCTGGAGAGTTTGCGTTGCCCCCCTCATTCGATATGCCAGGGAGCTGTGGCTCACCCATGCCAGACAGTTTGCGGGGTTTCTCTCCTTTGGGCTCCTGAGGCAGGCTTGGAGCGCCGTGTTGGGTCCTCGATTTGAAGAGACGGTGCCCCGCGTTCCTCTCCTCTCCTCTCCTCTCCTCTCCTCTCCTCTCCTCTCCTCTCCTCTCCTCTCCTCCTCTCCTCCCTCTCCTCTCCTCCTCTCCTCTTCACCCACCCAGTGCACCGTTTCGTGGCTCCATAGGGAGCTCCACCGAAGGCCCCAGTGCCCGCGCCCACATGCGTCACCCACACCCATTTCGGCACACCCCTCACACGTTTCGTGGCTCCATAGGGAGCTCCACCGAAGGCCCCAGTGCCCGCGCCCGCATGCGTCACCCACACCCATTTCGGCACACCCCTCACACGTTTCGTGGCTCCATAGGGAGCTCCACCGAAGGCCCCAGTGCCCGCGCCCGCATGCGTCACCCACACCCATTTCGGCACACCCCTCACACGTTTCGTGGCTCCATAGGGAGCTCCACCGAAGGCCCCAGTGCCCGCGCCCGCATGCGTCACCCACACCCATTTCGGCACACCCCTCACACGTTTCGTGGCTCCATAGGGAGCTCCACCGAAGGCCCCAGTGCCCGCGCCCGCATGCGTCACCCACACCCATTTCGGCACACCCCTCACACGTTTCGTGGCTCCATAGGGAGCTCCGCCGAAGGCCCCAGTGCCCGCGCCCGCATGCGTCACCCACACCCATTTCGGCACACCCCTTCGACGCTTCGTGGCTCCATAGGGAGCTCCACCGAAGGCCCCAGTGCCGCGCCGCATGCGTCACCCACACCCATGTCGGCACACCCCTCACACGTTTCGTGGCTCCATAGGGAACTCCACCGAAGGCCCCAGTGCTGCCGCCCGCATGCGTCCCGCACACCCAATTCGACACACCCCTCACACGTTTCGTGGACCCACAGGGAGCCCCACCGAAGGCCCCAGTTCTGCCGCCCGCATGCGCCCCGCACGCCCAATTCTTCCCACCCCTCACACGTTTCGTGGCCCCATAGGGAGCCCCGCCGAAGGCCCCAGTGCTGCCGCCCGCATGCGTCCTGCACACCAAATTCGGCACACCCCTCACACGTTTCGTGGCCCCATAGGGAGCTCCACCGAAGGCCCCAGTGCTGCCGCCCGCATGCGTCCCGCACACCCATTTCGGCACACCCCTCACACGTTTCGGGGCCCCATAGGGAGCCCCACAGAAGGTTCCAGTGCTGCCGCCCGCATGCGTCCCGCACACCCAAGTCGGCACACCCCTCAGGCGCTTCGTGGCCCCATAGGAAGCTCCACCGAAGGCCCCAGTGCTGCCGCCCGCATGCGTCACGCACACCCAATTCGGCACACCCCTCTCACGATTCGTGGCCCCATAGGGAGCTCCACCGAAGGCCCCAGTGGCGGCGCTCACATGCGCATGCGTCCCGCGCACCCATTTCGGCACATCTTTTACAGGTTTCGTGGCCCCATCATCCACCGGAGGCCCCAGTGGCGGCGCTCACATGCGTCACCCACACCCACCCAATTCGGCACACCCCTCACACGTTTCGTGGCCCCATAGGGAGCTCCACCGAAGGCCCCAGCGGCCGCGCTCACATGCGCCCCCGCCACCCATCCCGGCACGCCCCTCACAACAACAGGTTTCGTGGCCCCATAGGGAGCTCCACCGAAGGCCCCAGTGCTGCCGCCCGCATGCGTCACCACCCGCACCCACTTCGGCACACCCCTCACACGTTTCGTGGCCCCATAGAGAGCTGCACCGAAGGCCCCAGTGGCGGCGCTCACATGCGTCCCCGCCACACATCCCAGTACACCCCTCACGCGCTTCGTGGCCCCATAGGGAGCTCCACCGAAGGCCCCAGTAGCGGCGCTTACATGCGTCTCCGCCACCCATCCCGGCCCCCCCCCGCAGCAGCATCATGTTTCGGGGGCCCATAGGGAGCTCCACTGGAGGCCCCAGTGGCGGCCCGCACATGCGTTTCCGCCACCCATGTCGGCACGCCCCGCGCGTGTTTCATGCCCCCATAAGGAGCTTCGCCGAATGCCCCAGTGGCACCCATCTCGGCACACCCCATCACACGTTCCGTAGTCCTATGGGAGTTCCATTGAAGATAAAACTCGCAGCTGCGGTACTGACAACTGCATATGGTTGGGTTCATCGCTAGTTGTTTTGTTTGTTTCTTTTTTTTATGTTTTATGTTTTTTTTTGTTGTTTTTTTTCCTTTCCTCCTAGGGATGACTGGTCTTGGGCTAAGGTCTCTGGGCCCCTTCAGTTGCTCATCCTTTCTCCGAGGTTGGTTGGCCAGCTGGCCAAGGCGGCCGTCTTTAGGGGCTTGGAAAGGAACTCGGGCCCGAAGTTTGGGGTTCCTCACCGCCTTTGCTGGGGTATTGTTCGTGCCAAGCTTAGGTCCGGCAAGGTCTCTTACAATGATGTCCACCATGAGGGCCATGGCCAGCAACGCCATCTGGACGGGAGTGGCCGCCAGGAAGGCGGGGTACGACGTCCCCTCGGTCTCTGGTCTGTGCGGTCAGCACGACGACGCGCTCTGGCATAGGCTTTGGGGGTGTCCTGCTTGTGCTGCTGAGCGCGAATCTATTGTGCCAGCTGACGTCCTTGCGCTGGCTTTGGACGTTGAGTCAGAAGACTACGCGTACCCCTTGTTCGTTCATGGAGCCTTCAAGCACCCAGGTGATGAGCTTCCCAGGCCTTCGTCTGACGGAGTTGTTCACGTCGAAGGGGCGGCCCCCGAAGCTGAGCCCCCAGGATCTCCTGAGCTTTCCCGTTCGGGTTGGTGCCTGGCCATGACGGATGATAAAGCCAACCTCCTGTGTGAAATAACGGCCCCAGTCTGGGCCCCGTACCCCCAAACTCCCCAGGCCGCTGAGTTTGGGGCGTTTGGAGGCCTTAATTTTCCCTGGAGTCGAGCGCGGTTTGCTACAGCGACTGTAAGAATGTGGTTGACCTGTTCCTCCAGGGCCCAGGTAGGTTTTTGCCGCCCAAGCTCCAGTACTCTGGGCTGCTCATCCACGGAGAGTCGGGAGCGGGCTCTAAGATTTCCAGCCTCTGTAAGGTAGATGCTCACAAGGACTTGGACGAGTCGGGGATCATCGCTCATGAGCGCTTCATCCGACAGGGTAACTTCTTTGCAGATGCGGGGGCCAAGCGTGCTGCGCATTGGCGCCCTCAGTTTTGTGCAGGAGACTTGGAAGCGGTTGATTTGAAGGTCAAGATCGCTCGTTGTGTCATGGACCTCGCTGCTGCTGTCCTTCCCTTGTTTCCTCGTGTTGAGTTTCGTGGGTTGGAGCGCGTTCCTCCTCCCCCTCCTGCTCCTCCTGCTGCTTCGAGGGGTCCCCATCAGTGGGCTCACATGTCGGGCTTCTGGCGTTGCAGAGTCTGTTTGAAGGGATCTACTCACTCTGTCCCTGTTGCTGGGTCGTGCAGAGGCCACAGCAGACTAGACAGTGTAGTTGTGGATCGGCTCCAGCACCGTGTCATCGCGCTGGAGGCCAGCGATAATTCGCACATATTTTTTTGCCTTAAGTGTCGGTCGTACTCGTCGGGAGCTCAGGTGTGTAACCTGGGCAAGACCTGCAAACCGCCGACCACCACGGGCAATCGCAACTGGAACAAAATCAGGCAGGGGAAGCACCCCGACAAAGCGGGAGTGGCTCTCGAGTTGGACCTGGTCAAAACCTTGTTCCAGTAATCTTATTTTGCCGCTGCAGTCTCAGCCTCCAGTCTGCAGCATCGTTTGAGGCGCCGTGGATGGCAACAAAAAAGAGGAGGAGGAGGAGGAGGAGGAGGAGGAGGAGGAAGAGGAGGAGGAGGAGGAGGAGGAGGAGGAGGAGGAGGAGGAGGAGGAGGAGGAGGAGGAGGAGGAGGAGGAGGAGGAGGGAGGAGGAGGAGGAGGAGGAGGAGGAGGGGAGGGGGAGGAGGAGGAGGAGGAGGAGGAGGAGGAGGAGGATGAGGAGGAGGCGGAGGCGGAGGCGGAGGCGGAGGCGGAGGCGGAGGCGGAGGAAGAGGAGGAGGAGGAGGAAGAAGAAGAAGAGGCCCGCGCCACTTTTCCCAGTGGCTGCGTTACTGCCCGGCGCGCCTCCCCTGGCCCGTCTGCTTGTTTCGTTAGCGCGTCGTCCAGACCTCCCTGAGGGTCCGCGCATCGACCAAACATTCGGCGCTGGATGTCCGGGTGGTTAAAGGTCGCCGGGTTCGATAGCCCAGTGGGCCTCGTCCCGGCGCCCAAAGGCGGCAGATCGCCCAGGGAACACATTGGCGTTGAACAGAGTCAGTCCGCCAGAGGTCTGGCCCCCCTCCCCCTCCCTCTGTTGTCCCATCCCCCCTCCTCGCCTCTCTTCCGACGCGACGAAATTTTATCGTGACGTGAGCACACGGAGACTTCGACCTCTTCCCAGGGCCAGTTTTTCATCCGGAGTGTTTTTTTTTGGCGGTCCCTAGGCCGACGCTGGGAAACGGCCTCCCGAGGCCGATTTAGCGTCCCATTACCAGCCGTCGCGATTGTTTGCGTCATCTGGGTCTGGCGGTCCCCCGGCGGGCTCCAGCGGCCGGCGCCTCGTCCTGGCCGGCGCCCTCCTGCGGGAGGGCGTCCCGGTGGGTTGGGCGGGCGGAGGACTTCGTCGAGTGCGCCGGCGGGGTGTTCCACCAGCGCTCCTACCACACCTGTGACCCCGGGCACACTCCGAACGCGGGGAGCAGGGAAGATAACCCGCGCCTCCTCGCGTCGTGCCAAGAATCAAAAGGGCATGTTTTTCTATCCGTTTTCGGCCTCTGGCCCCCCCAACAGACGGCTCGGGATGAGACACCAGCCCTGGGGAAGGTCTCGGGACTTCTGGGGACCCCGTATTGAAAAACGCAAGAGGCTTTCAATTACCAAGGTTTGAGTCTGGCCCATGAGTCCGGCCCAAAGGCCAGCCTATACTCACCTCAAGGCAGGTCAAGAAGCAAAATCATTGTCCTGTGGGTGGTCAACGATTTTCACAAAAGCTGGCGTTTCGCGCATATCCGAGCACTGAATTCGGACGGGTCTTAGACACAAATACAGGGCATAGGTGCAAGTCATGCTCCTACCCAATCTTCTGGGATTCGCGTGTAGTTGTGAATCTCATAACTAGTGTAAACGTTAGCGCCTTTTCAGAACTTTCGCCTGTGTGTGGCAGCAGGAGGATTGGGCAATGTTTTCCCTTGAGCCAAAGCATTAGGCAAATCACGGATACACACCTGCTATGCTACACAAGTGCTGAACCTAGTCTGACAAATGTGCTGTCCCATCACACTCGTCGGAATTTCTAGTAGGTTCAGCATCCCAGAGACTGTAACTGGGATGGAAACCCTGCAAGCAGGAAAACACACACAACAGTTCGACAAGGCATCTGTCCCCGGATGCCCTGCATCAAGGTCTTGGTGAAATCTACTGAAAAGGCAGAAGTCCGACCGGCCGGCCGGAGGGAGAGGGAGAGGAGGGAGAGGAGAAACCAACCACACCACCACCACCTGCCTGGGCCAGGAACTCTGGCCAGGAGATCAGGGCCTCGGACTTGGCCAGCTCTCGCCTCGACGCTGCCTGGGATCGGTCCTTGAGCTCCGGGGCCTCTTTCCTGCGACTGAGCTCTCCGCTTTCATCTATGAGGCTGAGCTTCCCGTGGGTCATCAGATCGAAGAGGGCGGCATTGCTTTTCGTGATGTCGTCTTTGGTGAGGGAGTCGACGGGCATACGCCCGTGAGGCACCCATCTGACCCTGCCGCCGGCCCTCTCGAGGGCCTCGCAGATGATGGCCAAGTCTAGTGCTGTCCGGCGGTCCCTGGCACTGGCGTTCCCTTCTTTCTGCATCGTGTCGTAGATAGATTTGGCATCTACTACATGTACCTGTCCTTCCCGGGAGCCCAGCTGACAGTCTGCCCTCAGCACCGTGGTGAAAGGTCCAGACGCTCTCCTGCAGTCTGGGATGTCGACGTCCCGAAAGATGATGTCTCGATACATGACCTGAAGGAACTCTACCTCCGCGACCGCCGCTGACAAGGCTTGGGTCTCGCCTGCCAGCGTGGACGGGACCTTTCGCCGCAGCTTACTCGACCGCCACCCTAGAATGGAGGCCCGGACGGACTGGTTAGACACGATGGCCTTGTCGGTCCCCAGCACCATCCACGCACCCTGCGTCGGGTCCTCTGGAAGACCCCGGTCGTCGGCCAGACTGGCCGTAGCTCCTACGCCTCCGGCATCTGAGAACGACACGAACGAGAAGTGATCTGGGTCTAATCTCCACACAGTGAGCCCCCTGGAAGCAGTGGCCCGCAAGTGTCGGACCAGCTTGTTGGCGCACTGGACATCGTAGATGGTCGGCGCCTTCAGGCGGCTCGCCAGTATACTGGCGATGCCGGCAGTTTCTGGTCTGGTCTCACGGCCAACCCAGTTGAACTTATAGACGAGGGAGCGTAGCGCCTTAAATTCATTATGTTCCAGGGGAGCATCCTTCTGACCCATACGGCCCTTGGCCACCGACAGTGCCTTCACTTCTTCGAGAATATATTTCTCTTGGTCGATCAGTATCTTGTGAGGTGCGAACGTAAGTCGGCGACCTGCGAAGTCTACAGGACCGGCCTGGCAGTCCCGGTACTTGCCAAACTTGAACCTGGCCTCGAGGGTCGATCGTAACCATGCCCGGGATTCCTGGGAGGAACTCGCTATCATAAAATCGTCGACCTCGAGTAACATCATGTTGAGCACCTCCCCCTTACTCCCGTACCGGATCCACCAGCATGGCTCCAGGAGGCTCCGGACGAAGCCGTGCTCCTGAAGATAGTTCACCACCGTCCTACGCCAGGCCATGGGAGCATCGTCCAGCCCGTACACGTTCACTAGAAGCCGGATCAGGGACCCCGGTTCCACGTCCACGCCGTCACACGGTTCGACGTAGATCTCGCCCTGGGTTCTCCTCATCGGATCGGACTGACAGAACGCGTTCTTCACGTCTGCGATGTCTCCTAACATGCCTAGATTAATAGCTATCTGGAGAAACATCATTATCGAGGATGTCTGAGGCGTGGGTGCGTACACGGCCAACGCGCCGGAGTCAGGGTCCCAGTGCCCGTGAACACACCAGCGGGATTTCGCGTCCGGATCGGCAAACGTCCCCTCGACGGGCTTCCACCGCCTCACCATCCTGGATGAGATGATTCGGTCTGGGAGTTGCTCACGCACGATCCTGGCCTGGCTGGGAGGCACCACCTCGACGGCCCCGGTACCCATCATCGCGTCCCATTCTTTCTTGTCCGAAACCTCAAACTTGACTCTCTCGGCGGGTGTCAGTCGCTTGAGACAGACCTCGCCCCCGCGACCCGTGGCATAAACACCTCCGACCTGACCGGCTCTCGTCTCTTCTGGCTGCTCGCGGACGGCCCTAGAGCCCAGACCCCCAACTTCCGACGGGAAGACCCAGAAGTCCTCAGAAACCCCCGACATGCTTGTCCTCACTGGTGAGCGAGACCTGGGACGCCTGGCCGCCTCGAGATCGCGCACCAGCTCGGACACAGATCGGGAGCGCTCGAAGCCGCGCTCGACAGCTCCTCGGCCTTCTCTCAAGTCCAGGCCAGACGGGGGAGAGGAGTCAGAGGAAGGAGGGAAGGTGGGTCCAGGAAGGCCTGGGGGACCGCCTGGGACCACACCACCACCGGAGAGAGAGGGAGAGGCTCCGTCCTCCCCGACCCGCTGGGATCCGTCCTCGGCGGCCTCACCGAGGCGAGGCCGCTTGACCTCGGGTGGGCTCGAGGCCGCTCTTCGTGCAGCGTCGGAGGCCCCGATGCACCAGGGCACGTCCTCTGGCTGCGCAAGTCGGCGGACCCTCGCCGGAGGGAGCAGGGCCTCAAGGCCGGGAGGAGGTGTGGGAGGAGAGGCAACCGAGGGCGCGGGAGAGGGAAGAGCCGAGAGAGGGGGAGAGGAAAGGGCAGGAGGAGGGGAAGAAGAGACCGCGGGAGAGGTAGTAGGAGAGGCCCCCGATCCCTGTCCGTCCTCCCGACCCCCGGAGGGATCGGAAACCCCGGGCGAGGGGGGCGCCGTGGGTGGCTCCGCCCGAAGCTCCTCCGCCTCGGGGATTGACCGAAGACGGGAGGGGGCCCCCACATCCAGGGAGTCCGCCTGGGATCTTCCGCCGGCCCCGCCTGGCAAGAGAGGCCCCAGGACCGCCGGAGCCGGGGCCGTCTCGGCCGCAGCCTCCTCCGCCGGCTCCTGACCGCCACCTGGGATCCTCGGACCGGGGTCCGTCTGAGGTTGGGCTGGCTCGTCCCAGGCCTCGTCGGGCGGGGGACCCTCCCGAACGACGTCGACAGCAGTCACTCTGCGAGCCTGAGCGGCCTGCATCAGTTGCTGCCACTTCGGGTCGTGGGCCAGCTGCAGTCCGTACTCTTCCTCTGAGCTGGCGAGGCGCAGCTGCTCCACACTGCACTTCCAGAGCCTCACTCTCACGGCGACCCACACAGTCCCGCCCTCGCTCAGAACAACGATCCCGGGACCGGTCCACCCGTCCAGCCTGCGGCCCAACGCGTCGGCCTTGGACGAGGTCTTGGTAAAGTGCCTCCACACGACCACCCACTGGCCCGGAGTGAAGACCCTGGTCCCCGGGACCTTGGGACGCGAGGCCCGGCTTATCTTCTCGCGAGCGGTCACTTCCATGGCCATGCGACGGGCCGCGGCTCTGACCTCCTGAGCTCGAGAGAACTCCGAGCCCGCACCGTCCTGCTCCGAGGCAGGCCTAAGGGCATCTTGCCAACCCGGGAGCCCCTTGTGATCGTCACTCAGGATGTCGTGCGGGAGGCGGGGGTTCTCACCAAAGACGAGCTGGAGCGGGGAGAAACCCCCGCGATGCCAGTACCTGTTCTTATGGGCGACCAGCTCATACACAAGGTCGTCAAGCTCCTGGAGGTCCCCTGGAAGCGACGAGCCGGCGTCTAACTCAGCTTTGATCCGGTCTTTCACCCAACCCCCGTGACGCTCGACTCGGCCGTTCTGCCAGGGGGTCCGCGTCGCACACGTGCTGACAGATACCCCACTGCTCCATGCCCCGCGCGAACCTAGAACCAAACTCGGAGCCTCCATCCGATATGACGAAATGGGGGGCACCAAACGGGCGGACCCAGGACCTCAGAAATTCCGACCACACCGTAGTGGACTGGGCATTCGCAACTCTCACGACCACCTGAAGGTTGGACCCGTGGTCCACGATATTCAGGAAGGGATGGGTAACCCCCAGAAAATCGAGATAGAAGAGGTCCACTCCGACAATGTGATTAAAGCGAAACGTCCGTGGCATGGCAACCCTTCTGTGAACCCCCACACGGGCCCGCTCGGCGCACTCCGAACACTGGAATTTCCTCCGCACCCATCGGAGCAGGTGGGACTTCGTCCCGCCAGCCCGAAGGACGCGGATGAACTTCCGGTTGTCGGGATGGCCCATGTTCACGTGGAGCTTATAGAGGAGTCGTTTCTCTTCTTCAATAGGTTCGGGCTCCTCTTCTCTGTAAGTGGGCTTGGTCCCCTCGACCTTCGGTCCCCGGGTCTCCTGCTCATCACCGCTGTCCCCATCCGACTCACCCTCCACGCCTTCCACGCCTTCCTCGGGAAAGCTTCCCTCGACTAACTCGGCCCACGTGGGCCTTGAGTGCTGGGAGGCCC